GCTGCTGCACCGCATGCAAGCAGAAGCAGCAACAGCTTGCAGCTTCCTTGCCGTCGCAGGGCAGCCAGCGTCAGCAGCAACTGCAGCAGCAACAGCGTCGCCTCGCTGCCCAGCCCCTGCAGCAGCAGCAGCAGTAGCAGCAGCGATAGCAGCAGCAATAGCAGCAGCAGCTGCGAGGTCTGCTGCTGCTGCTGCACGCAGTTGTGGATGGAGGTGTGGGGCCTGCGGCCGGACGGGGCCCCACAGTCTCTGCGTCTGCTACGCTGCAGCAGCAGCAACAGCAGCAGCAGCAGCAGCAGCAGCAACCCCTGCTTCCTGTCGCCTCCTATTTTGCTGCGGCCGCGGCTGAAGACGCTTCAGTTCCGTCTGTTCAGGCGCAGCCCGCAACAGCAGCAGCAGCAGCAGCAACAGCAGCAGCAGCAGCAGCAGCAGCAGTGGGTGGAGACTAGGGAGCTGCTGGGGCTGAGGGTTTTGTCCCTTCCCAAAGGGCCCTTTTGTGTTGTGCGCTGCACTTTTGGTTAGCAGCAAACCCTAAACCCTAAACCCTAAACCCTAAACCCGAGAAAGCCCTGAGCACAGCCATGCTGAGGCGCAGCAAAGAAGACCCAAAGAGACACCAAAACATAAATTTAATTTCTTTCTTTTATTCTTTTTATTTATTTTACATTTCTTTTATTATTTTTTATTATTTTTTGTTTCTTTTTATTTATTTTGTTTTTTATTTATTTTTTCTTTTTATTTTTCTTTTTATTTGCGTTTAGGCATTCCAGGGTCTTCAGCTGTCTGCCCCCCAACGAAAGCTCTGTGAGGCGCTGCTGCTGCTGCTGCTGCTGCTGCTGCTGCTTCTTTGATGCTGCTGCTGCTGCTTTGCTGCTGCTTTACTGCTGCTTTACTGCTGCTTTGCTGCAGTGCGATCTTGCTGCTGCTGCTGCTTTGCTGCTGCTCCGCCGCTCTTGCTGCTAGTTTGCACGTGCCCTTGCTTCTTTGTAGTCCCTCGCTGCTGCTGCTGCTGCTGCTGCTGCTGCTGCTTAATGTCTGGGTATTGTTTTGTTTGTGTGTTTGCTGCTCAGACTGCAGCAATCTTTATCTCTTGCTGCAGCAGCAAGCGGCGAGGGGTGGGAATGGCTGCGGCTGCGGCGCCCACTGCTAGCAGGCCCCCCCCCTGCAGCAGCAGCAGCAGCAGCGGACCCTGCTGCTGCTGCTGCTGCTGCGAGCCCCGCCAGCTGCGTCGTTTCTGCTGCTGTGCTGCCGATGTGGCGCTGGGTGGGATTTGCTGCTTGCTGCTGCAGCAAAGAAGCTGCTGCTGCACTCAGCGCGGTGTACAGACACCTCGTCGAGGGCACAGAGTGCCTCAGCCTCGTTGCTGGTACGCTGCTGCTGCTGCTGCTGCTGCTGCTGCTAAGGAGCATGCAGCAAATGAGACAAAAGCATTAAAAGAGCAGCTGAATTAAGTTTGGGGCTTTTGTTGCTGCGCTGCAGGCGACAGAACGGCCTTGTCACTCTACGAGCCGTAAGCAGCAGCAGAAGCCGCAGCAGAAGCAGCAGCAGAAGCAGCAGCATAAGCAGCAGGAGAAGCAGCAGCAGCAGCTGCTGCTGCTGCTGCATGCATGCAGTCCCTTTGGAACCTTCGTGGCCCAAAGTGTGGCTGAAGGGAAAAAACACTGTCACTGCATCCGCGTTACGGAGCAGCAACAGCGGCAGCAGCAGCAGCAGCAGCAAAGAGAGCTGCTGCTGCTGCTGCTCCTGAACTTTGGGATTTTAAGTTTTTTAGTTCAGAGTTACGTTTCCACTTGCCGCTGATGCTGTGGCATTTGCCGCTGTATCTTTGCTGCTTCTGCTTTCCTGCTGCTGCTGCTGCTTTTGCTGCTGCTGCTGCTGCTGCTGCTGCTAGATCGAGAGAACGGCACAGAGACACGCAGCTCCTCAAACGCATGCGTTCTTTTACGAATACTTTTGGGGCTTTTTGATTTAATTTCGGATTTTTGTTTAAGAGCTTTTATGCATTTAAATGGATTAATTGGAGACACAAAAGCGAAAAAGCAAAATGAGAAAAAGCAAAATGAATAAATAATAAAAGGGGAAAATAAAAAACTAAAAGTATGAAAGTAAAATTAAGAATAAAGAAAAAGAATTGAAAGATTAAAAAGGATTTCAACGAGTCTAAAATGTCATTTGGAGCTTCACGTGTACATACACCCCAGGTGTACGTACACCACAAGACACCCGAATTTGCAAAAGCTGCCGGCCGGCAGAAAAGCGAAAAATGCAAAAATATAAAAACAAAAATTAATGAAGAATAAATTGAAGTGGAAATGTCGAATAATTTAAGTTTTGAACTCGAATTATTATTATTTAATCGCTTTGTAAATTGGAAAATAAAAATTCTTAAATTTGTTTCGTCTTTTTCCAATTTATTTTTTGTAGACTTTCGATCGCACAGGAGCCCGCCGCTGTATGTACACCCGAAGGGTCTGTAATACTTTATTTGGGAGAAATTCATGAGGTGTACATACACCGCATGCAGCAGCTCCAGTGCATGCATTGTTGAGCTGGAGCCCCGTGTTATCTTTGAATCTCATCTCGAGTTTATTCTTTGCATTTACGCAAATATAATTTCAATTTTTTAATTTTAATTTGCTTTTACTTTTTAGAAACGCGCATTTGCCGTGTCCAGACACAGGTCTGCAGCGAGGTCCCGCCGGGGGGGGAGTCCAGTGCGGCGCGCCCATTATACTGCAATAAAGCCCCATTTTTGCTGCTTTCGCGCAAAAATACATTTAAATTAGTAAAAAATACATTTGAATTATAAAAAAATACCTAAAATAACTCCTATTTCATTGAGAATTCACCAAACAAACGCAGAAGGAGGCGGAAGTGGTTTTGCATGCACAGCGGCGGCCATCGCTTGAGGTGTACGTACACCCGAGTGTAACTGCAGCGCCGCCTTTTTGCAATTTCAGAAAACTCCAAAATGCTTCTTTTCAGATTTACTTTTTGCATTTTAAAAAGTACTTTTATGTTTATTTATTCTTTTTCAACACGGAATTTTGTTTAGAGACGAAAAAGCGCAAATGTCAGATTTCGAAATTTCGAATTTGCTGCTCATTTGCTTCTGCTCATTATTTACTTGTCAATTTATTTATTCTATACTATTTACTATTTTTTATCTACTATTTATTATTTATTATTTATTATTTATTATTTATTATCTATTATTTGTTATCTATTATTTATTGTTTATTATTCATCATCTATTATTTATTATTTATTATTCACTACTTATTATTTATTAATTTATTATTTATTAATTTACTATATATTATATATTGTTTATTATTTATTAATTATTTATTATTTATCATTTATTATTTATTATTACTTAATTCTATTTACTCATTCATTATTATTTATTATCTAATTCAATTTACTTATTTTTATTCATTTATATCGTAGGGAATGTTTGCGCTCTTCCTATTTATATTTATATTTATATTTATATTTATATTTATATTTATATTTATATTTATATTTATATTTATATTTATATTTATATTTATATTTTTATTTTTATTTTATTTATGTTTATATTTGCATTTAGATTTATAATCATAATTATATTTAAAATGGCATATTTAAATGGAATTATTTTACATTTAAATTCAGAATTAGGGTTTAGGGTTTAGGGTTTAGGGTTTAGGGTTTAGGGTCTACGGTTTAAGGGGGCAGGCAAGGGCAGCGCTACGCAGATAATAATAATATATCTATTATGTGGGGGCACCGCGGAGGCCTAAACCCTAAACCCCAACCCTAAACCCTAAACCCTGAACCCCAACCCTAAACCCTAAACCCTAAACCCCAATCCTAAACCCTAAACCCTAAACCCCAGAATCGAAGCT